TAGGGTTTCAGTATGAAAACACAAACTTTAACATTTGGAAGAAATCATTATTCTGTCATTTTTGTTGTTGTTGTAGCTATACAGAAAGCCTCAAATCCTTATGAAGAAAAACACTTTCAAATCTAGAAATAAATGATTTAAAAATGCTTCCTTACAATGAATCTAAAAATAATTGGTCCCATCACAGGCAGATGTGAGAAAAAGAACTGAATGCCTTAACATTCCTTTTATCTGTAAATGTTTTGGAAAGTCTATAATTCACACATTGAGAAGTCAGATACCTAAACATAATAGCACTTTTTCAAAAAGAGGATCCAGTGAACCATAACAGCTGGAGACCCAAGGGATGATATCAAACAATAACCATGTTTTTGACATTCGCCATAGATTTTTCTCTGTCTTCACTGCATACATGTCATCTCAAATCCTAGAGTGGTGAAGGTGCTGGTGAAAATCACAAAGCACCTGCATATATTTATGTAGGCCTGCCTTCTTCCCCATATACTTTCCCCAAAGTAGATTAGTACATGGGTAACCCACTTGCATATTCTGGTTTTATGAAGAGACCAAATAGGTAAACATTATGTTCAAAGATCACAACTGACTGCCTAAGCTGGAACCTCCAACTATCCACACCCTGTGTGCATCTATGGGTTTTTAGGTCACTTTGCATCCTCATCTACAAAATGGGCATGGTGACAGTCTTTTCCATGTCATGAACTGGTGTGAGGATATTAATCCTTAAAGTCAATCAATGCATGGAGAAAACTTAGAACTGTTCCAGGCACATTATAACCACTTAACCTGGGTCAGCTATATTTAGCTTACATTCTGTGAGCAGTGATTTTACAACCTCTCATTGATAATGGTCCACCTTAAGCCATGTCTGTATTGTAATAGCAAAATAGAGACTTTTGTCAAGTTGACACTCACTGAATCTCATTCTGGGAATCATTGTAATGGCTATTAAGGAAGAAAGGTTAAGCTTTAGTCCCCTCATTGGTTTGGGAGTAAGAGTGGCTACATTTAGCAACACTGTAACATTTTAGTTATTATTTATGTTTCTTCTCATGGGGATAGCCTTGGATCCTAATTTATTTAGGATCCAACTTGAAAAAAAGACTAATAAAATGACAATAATGATAAACCAGCATCCTTATATGTATAGGAAAAGCTAAGTGACTGTGTCTAGATAGTTCACAGATGGTACATAGAAGGAGGGCAGGCAGGTACAGCTGGCAGACACTAACTGGCTCCTCTCTGATGATTGGTAGACCATGTGGGTCCCTAGGCACCTAGAAAGGGAGTCAGCCAAAACTTTTGCTTTCACAATAGTCTGGTTCCAGAATCACAGACGTGGTAACAGCTCAGACATGGGGCTGACTCTGACCACAGCTCCAAAATTAGAACATAATGCTTAAAGCTGGCAGCTATATTCCCATAAATCCATTTTAAGTTCCAAACAAAATACTCCTAAGTGGATTCTGCCCTGGCACTGCCCATTGTCATGGGTTTAATTGGCAAGATGGATCCATGTCTATCAGTTTAAAATATAATGCCATTGCATTATATTTTTTCAAAATTTATGACCCTCCAGTTCCTTGGGATAGTTTGCCTCAAGAAAGAGGCTCTACTTGCTTGAAAAATTCTACTACAACGTGATGTTTATTATTAAATAACTCTTGAATTTTTTTAAGTGTCTATAAGTCTAACTCCACTTTCTTTAATTAGGGAAGTCTAAGTACAGATCATGGTTGGCTTTATTTCTTTTAAATTTGGAGAGAAGAACTTTACAAAGTTTTAGAGTTACCCTTCTGAACAGCATTTCCCAAGCATAGGGCTGTGAGGAAGAAGCAGGAGACTAAAAGAATGGAAAGTCATGGAAGTCAATAGAAGTCTTTCTTTTTTAACTGCAATCTTTGATTTAAACCTTTTTTTTCTTCTATGAGATTCAGTAGTTTAAACCATCATATAAAGGAGTTTATGGGTACAAGGATGTTGACCCAGACCATTAACGACTCTCATTCAGAATCTGCTGTCATGAAGGTTTATCTGTAATTGAAAGTACAGAAAGCATCTCAGGAAGAGGAAAATATTAATGGAGCCACCACCAGGCTACTGTTGCATAAGGATTGTCAGACACCCAAGAAAAAAAAAAAAGCTTGTTAATCCCATGAACTAGCTGCCCAAAATCTATTCTAAACTGATGGTCTCTCTGAACCAAGCAGATTAGTCATTGCATATTCCATTTGCACAACAGTTAGGTAGCTTTGATTTAGCTCAGAGAATTTTTTTTGTACCACTACAGGTGTACATGGAGAGACAGAAGAAATAGGAAGAAAGACAAAAATATCCCAACATATGGGTAGGAATGGAACTGACAGATGGGGACCATTTTAGTCCTAGAAAGGCAGATTAGAAAGATAAAGGTATTTGAACTGAATCCATGGATGTGGCATGAAATTATGCCATAACTGTTCAATATTAATACCATAAAACAGTTCTCCTGCTATCCTTATTTTCCATCTATTTAGAAAGGTGAGAAAAAATATCAAATGTATGGAGTCATTTCAGGAGAGTACATATGCCATCCACTGCTACCCTAAAGGAAGGTCACCAAGGAGCTTGTCTCTTAATCAGTTAAAATTCCACTTTCAAATTTCAGCACTGCCCTCTTTTAAAAAGAGTCATCCTTTTTTCTGGGAACTGTAATACCACAGTAAAGATTACTTCATCCATTGCTTCCTAATAAGACAAAAAAAATCTCTTCTAATAGGTCCTTAGGTGGCAAGAGCTAGGCGTGCAGGCTCTTGATAGAAAAGCACAATCCCTTCTAAATCCAAGAAATCAAGGAGGTGGGAGGATGCTGTTCATTACTTGCATGGAAAGCTAACCAAAGATAAGTCCTGGAGATAGCCTCCACTCCTTCTAAATTGAGAACCTCTGACATAGGAAATGAATGAGAATTTTCTTTAGACTCATACAATTTTATATAGCTCAAAGCAAACTTAACAGATCTTGTTTGGCTCCCTGCTTTTACACATAAGAAAAGGTGACAGAGAGAGGAAGGAGGCTAGGGATGATATGGCTCAGTGGCAGAGGAGTGCATGAGGTCTTGAGTTCAATTCCCAGAAATGGGGAGGGGGAAAGGAATCAGTATATTTAGCCAAGCGTAACGACTCACTCCTGTAATCTCAGTACACTAAAGGCTGAGACAGGAAGATTATGAGTCAGAGGCCAGTCTGTGCTACACAGGGAGACACCATCTCAAAAAAAAAAAAAAAAACCACTAAAAACAAAAAGGGAATAAAAACAATTTTTTAAAAATGAGAGATGAAGGATCCACAGTCACGCTGCCATTTTTGGTATGAAAGAGGATTAAAACCCAGGTTCCAGATATCAAATCCAATGTTTTTCATTAACATCCTCCTAATTCCTCCTACCCATATGATTTCACATCAGACAGGATATAGAGAGATTGTCTAAGAAGGCAAAAAGAACCAGACCTGACCATATATCTATTATGCTTTCTCTCAAGATAAAATAAAAGGACACGCTTTTCCCCAAAGGACTTGTTAGCTGGGCTGTCAAACTAGAGACTTCACATTCCAGAAGCAACTATGCATCTTCTGGATGACATTAGCCCAAGTGTGTCCGCCCCTTCAGTACATATCCTGAAGAGAGCCCAGAAGGTCCTGGCAGTGATCAGAAGTGATATATTCCTTTCATTTCAGTCACTTCTAAGTTGCTTCTCAATCATTCTTGTCTAGATACCTTGCTAATTTTCTCTGTACTTGATGCACTGCAGAAGCAAATGGTACATTTGGCATTGCTAATCTAGATTTTCCAGCTGCCGTGGGCACTGGTTTATTTGCTGACTCACACAAACAAAGCTTAATGAATAGGATGGACATTTGCAAAAGTTACCAGTAGGAGTCAGGATAATAGTTAGACAGAGTGCTGGCAGAATGGTTCAAGCAGTAAGAGTGACTGTGTAGTAAGCATTAGGCCCTGATTTCACACCCCAGTGCCACAAAAACAAAAAAAAGAAAATAAAAAAAATTGCCAGGCATCAGTGGCTCACACCTGTAATCCTAGCTACTCAGGAGGCAGAGACCCTGTATTGAAAAATACCTATCACAAAAAAAGGGCTGGTAGAGTAGCTTAAGGTGTAGGTCCTCAGTTTTAACCCCAGCATGGCAAAAAAAAAAAAGCAGAAATCAAAAACGGTTTTTGTTTTCTTTTCTTTTCTTTTTAATAGCTTAATGCATGGTATCGTGTCTTCTAGAGAAAGAACACTGCCAAAGAAAATGGAGTTCATCATAGAAGCATATATGGAGGGTTCTTAGACAACATTTACCAGGGTTGATTCACATTTTCAAGATAAAAATGTTTACCTCACAAGAGATAAGTTTTCCCCCAGGAAAAATGGATTCATAAGACTAATGATGCCATTAGCTATTTAAATCATCCAGGAAAACTCTCTTTGTTTTGGTTCCCTGCTTTCTAAACAAGGATGTGATAAGCAAACATTCTACCTTTATGTCCCCAAGGGAAAACACTGGGTCAGAGAACTTCATTACTACATCAGATTAAGAGTTGTATTACTGATTAGTCATTAGCATTCTAGTTTATCATTTAATGTCTTGGGAGTTTGGTAAGTAAGAACTGTCAGAAGTCAGAAACAGGCTCTTGCCTACCTGGATTTGGAGAACTGAAAAACAGATACAGAAAACAATGAATTCAAGTTTCTACCTGGGAAAATTGTGTCTGGGCAATGACAGGATTCCCTTCATGTGTTGTTAATGTCATCAGCCTTGCAACCAGCACATTTCTTTGCTCAGTAAACTCTAATTTGCTCATAGAATGTTTCTATATATATGTAGGTGAAATAAGGAACAGCAACCTAAACACAAGCTCTAACCAAGCGCCCTGAGAAGAGACATTACCAGAAACTATTATCAAGTACCATGTGTTTCAAAGAGAAAAAAAACCAATACCTGTCTCCTTAGATCTCTTGTTTTCTTGGTCATCTTGTCAATTGCAATGTTTAGAGGATCTCCTTTTTCTTTCCTTCCAGTCTGTTAAGAAAAGAGAAATAATTTATGGTTTGTAAAATTCAATAGTACAGACGTTAAAAGTTAAAACAATTCAGAGAAACATTTCAGTTGTAGAGTCTAATCAATTAAGAAAAAGTATTCATTTTATTACACAGCAATATGATGGAGCCTCTAAAGTATTTTTTCTGAAATAAAAATTAAAATTGATAAGTCAATATATTTTCAGGACAATTACACACATGTCCCCATTCAACTTCATGCAAAACCGTTTTCTTCCATTCTTCAGTCATTTACATATTAAATAAATACAAGAATGTTTTGCTTTTGCTTCCAAATGCAAATGTTTTGTCTTTTTTATTAGGTAAACACATGTCTAAATGGAAGATAATTGATATGATAAAAGACAAAAAGAATTTTAAGGGAACTACCAGAATTCTAAATTTTACACCCAGTATTTCATAGACCATATTGCAATTCTACACCAAATTCAAAAAAGATGCTTTACTAGAAAATTCAGTAATTCCAATCTACTCTGTCATACAGTGGAAACCTAAACATGACAATAAGCAACCTACAACTTGAGGTCATGAAGAAAATTTCCCTTATAACTACAACATCCTGTCCCCTGCCCCAACTTATATACTGAGTCTTTCAGATGTATACGCTAATATTTGTAAGTAGGAAGAGCTTAAAATAAAGTGGTTAACATTTTACAAGTTTGAAATATCAGCCTACAAATACTTCCAAGAAAACAACAGTTTGTGGAGAAGAATAATGTTCTACTTGATCTTTTAGGGAAATGTGTATGCATGGTGAGTGTGCCTTTAGTACCCATGCTGTCCATGGTCAAGTGTGTCACAACTTCAACAGCCAGAGGCCAGTCCTTTTCCCTTTGGTTTTCTTCTTGCAAATAGGATGCCTGCAATCAAAACACAGGGGACTCTGTAGAGGTCTAGACCATGGTCTTTCTGAGAACTACAAATTTCTCATGTTTTTTCCATTTATTAGAATAATAAATGCATACTTTAAAAGGACTAAGATTATGGACTTGGTTTACAATGTGGGTATGATAAGAAAATGGATCACTATGAAAAAGAAAAAATCAAGATGATTTGGGTACACAAAGTAATTATTAAATGACTATAAGTTCTAGGTACTAGACTTACTTCATTGTACCTGTAACATATCTTTATCCCCTTTTCACAAATAAGAAAAATGGGAATCAGAACAAGACTGGAACCAGGATGAGGAGAATGAAGCATCTGCCTCAGACTCAAAATTTAAGGGGGTCCCAAAGAACCCATTAACCAAGATAAATAATAATTAAACACAATATTTTAAAATAACAAAATTGATGCCAAAAAATTCATGTTGAATAAAATATCAAAATTTTAAATAAAAATAACATATGACAAGGCAGGTTCCCTCATTGATGGGTCAATGAGGTGAGATTGCAAGGTCAGCACCAGATAATATTTTTTTAATTTTAAACTTTTAAAAATTGGGGGATGTATTTATACAAAAAAATTATGTGATTCACATGTAATTTGGCATTCTATACTTTTATTTGTTAGATGTGATGCCCCTAACCCAAGAGGTAACATTAATGCTCAAGATTGTGACTGAGGTTGTTCCAGGCATAAAGGAGGCTTGGTTCTCCTATTCTGTGAGCAGAAGGTAACATAGGAATCCAACCAGAAACTGTCAAACACACATTTTTATATGAGTCAGGATCACTATGGGAGACACTCACATAATGAAAGTTACTATTCTCACCCTCATGGAGCTCCTAACAAAAACAACTACACTAGAACATATAATTAGCAATGCTGACAACTGTGCAGAGACACTAGCACTGTAACAGGCTGAGTTCCTCAGAACAAGAAGATGTTGCATTGAAATCCAACAATCTCAGAGACAGCTAGGGAAATGTAGCTGGACCTTAAATGCTAGGCTTCATTGCAATAGGAAGGAGAGAGGCATTCAGAGTGGCAAAAAGAAAAGCCTCAAGATAAGAAATGACAAGATGGGTTCCAGGAGGACAGCAAATAGAATGGGCCAGCCTTTTCTCTATGGTCTGATTAGCTGTAGAGATTATTTTTAGAAGAGCTTCTTTACAGTGTCATTATAGCTGACTATATTTTGATCTGCAAGCCCAGAGAATTTTCTGTTGACATCAGTATTCCATGCCACTATTGCCAGGATTCTTCATGTGTCATAGTTGCAATCCTGAGTTTCTGTAGCTTCCAAGTCCTTAGTTGAAAGCAATTCAGAAATGCAGCAGAAGGGCTGGAGAAGTGGCTCAAGTGGTAGAGTGCCTGCCTTCCAGGCCAAGCAGGCACGAGGCCCTGAGTTAAGAAAAGCACCTGACTTGGATGCCATATTTGTTGTCACTATTTAGGGAAGCTGGGGATTTTTAAAGCAAGAACTATAGTTTAGGATATTTGGATCATTGGCTAGAATAGTCAATTCACTGGCCCTTTGTTTTTTCCAATCTCTTTAAAGTATATTTGTACAAATAACAGCAGCAGACCCATAATGCTCAGATTTGCACAGCAAATGGGGACCTGTAAGCCATTCTGACATGCTTTCCTCTGTTGTTATGTCTGCATATGGAAATAATTTTAAATCATCAACCTGAATTGGACAGGAAGCCAATCACCCAGAGAGAGAGATAGGCAGACAGACTTGCTTCCTAATGTCAGTCCCCTATTATTAGTCTGTGTGATCTTAGACTAATTTACTCCATGTTTTTTTTAAGTCTGAGTTTTCTCTTAAGCACAATGGCTAGCATACTATATGCTCTGTCTTCTTCATGAGGTTAACAGGATAATCAATCATGGTGCCAATGTGCTAGAAACAATAAAAGGCATTAGCAGTATCCAGGGTAATTAGGAAAGTATTTTTCCAATGAAAGAATTGATTTAGAAACTACATAGAAACTAATTTTGGATCACCTATACTTCTACTTTTTCCAGTCAGGAAGGTAACATGTGAATTCTTGCCAAAAACTACAACCCCAAAGGAAAGTTATTTCTCTTAGAAAAGGAATATTTGGAGCAGTTCATTTTAAATACACAACTAGTCTTAGCTATTTGAAAGAAGCAAAATGAGGGGCAAAAACTCTAACTCAGTCTTTTACATAGCTGGTTCTTGGATATGTTTGGTAAATAACTAAAGATTTGACCATGATAGTGAACAAATTCTAGTCCCTAGGCATTTGACCAGAAACCTCCCCCAGGCCTCCTCCACAGACCCTCCATAAGCTATAAATATCTAACTTTTCATTTTGAGATTATTACCTAATAATAGAGCAACTGTGGGGTTGAGTTAGTCTTCCACTTACTTATTGCTTTTGCTGAACAAGAAGGAAACAAAAAACAGTTGCCCACACTCTGCCAATATCTATTTGAGTGATCCAGCAACCTCCCTAGCTCTGAATTTATCATCTGTAGAATGAACAGACCAGGGACGAGTTACAGACCATAGGATCAGGGAACCAGAAAAACCTTGGAGAACATGTAAACCCACATCCACGTTGCTGGGCAGCAGTCATAGCTCTGCTGAAAGGGCTGGGAACTGGCAGTTAGTCAGGGTTTTCTCATGTCTAAATCATGGAATAAGTACTTGCTTTATGCGATTACAGCAAACATTAAAGAGATAGGATCTATAACGTATTTAACACAACACTTGAGAGGCAGAGTTAACTTATTCGCTGTTGGTTATCTCTCCTTCTCTACCTCCTCCTTTCCCAAAGATGTGGACAGCAAAGTTCAGAGATGAAGTAACTGATTCTGATCACTTAGATCATTAGAATCATGTGACTAACCCTTGCAGATGCCCAGTCCAGGGTGTTTTCCATTCCATATCTAAACCATCACCATTTCTGAAATTCCTCGATTCTGTGATTATAAAGAGTTCCATTTGTTTCTCTTCACAGCTATCAACAAAATCTCAGTTTTAGGTATATTTCCTCTGTTACTTTTTGTCCACACAACTTGCAGGATTTCTTGGACCTGCTCCCCACTTGTCTTCTTTATCTTTACCTGCAGAGAATGAGTCTGCAGTAGAGATAACCATTTAATAAACATTGTGATTAAAAAAAGAAAACAGGCAAGAGTACTCTCTCACATTGCTGTGGGCGCCTTTCCTAGTTGCCATCTGTTGTGCTATGGAGGTGCATGTTTATTAAACTTTATTTGTTTTAGTCTTTGAGTGCTATTTTACAAAACACATTCAGGGTAGATCCATGGCTTGAATTGATGAGAGGAAAGAGAATAAGTTTCTTGGTTTGGATTTTATAGGAGCTTCTTTATACTCCGATCCTCTGGCTCTAAATTCAAGTACAGTTTGCCAAAGTATAAGATGTTGTCAAGAAGACCTTCATATTTTCAGTTTAGTTCTAAACAGAAAGATTGGGCCATTAACTGGAATTATCATTTTTAACATAAGTCTTTGGAAAAAGCATAATATTTTACTTCAACAATCTTGTATAATACTACCTTTTGCCTCTTTGCAAACTTAAGACCCCTGCACTTTGAACAAAGCTCCCTTCTCTCTTTCTCTCTCTCTATTATCAATGTCCACCACTGTTTACAATCCTGAACATGTATGTAATGCATTTATGTCAACATAGTGAATAACACACAACTGACACCAACTCCCTAATTTTTACAACAAAACAGTAAGGAACATTAATTTTTAAATCTCTGAAAATTAGTGTTTCTTTTAAATCTATTCCCATTTCAGCCACTAGTTCCACCCTAAACATACCATTCCATACAAGTGGTCAATCATGGTGGCCCTGGGAATCCAAACCTACCATCCAGTACTTCCATTAGGTGCACATCACACAGATGCATATCAGCTATGCTTCAGAGCACAGTATGAATATTCTAGACATGAATGTAAGAAGGCAAATGTATATCACTTTCTCACAAAAGGTATCTACAAACTTGACTGAGTGTATGAGGAATCTTATAACTACCATGCAACTATGACTCTAATAAAGTAGATGTGTG